ATGTATATACATGTATATATACAAAAACACACTGACTTCAAGATGAAGTGCTGATGTGCTAACATGCTAATGTGCTAACATGCTAATGTGCTAACATGCTAATATCTAACTGATTCCTGCAGAACTTTGTCACTTCTGTACTTGAAGAACAGGACGGTTGTGTTTGGTGTTCTCATTGCTCTCTCAGCTCCACAGGTGTTCACCTGAACGCTGGCTGTGATTGACTGTGAGTGTGACTCAGGATGAATCTGATTGGCTCCTTACCAACAACAAACAGCATGTTGTGGTTGCTGGGCTCAGAGCGGACATTACGGCGAGCGTCTGGATAGTATTTGCATGTCAGCTTGATGGTAAGCAGCAGGGTGGGTTTCTCCCAGATGGCGAGCTGCTTGCTGGTCAGGTTCTGGCTGCAGGACCCCTCTGCGATGCGGAACTGGTCTCACAACCCACAGAGTCCTCACAAGGACCTTACAACCCTCTGAGTTCTAACAACGTACTCACAAGGTCCTCACAACCCTCAGAGTCCTCACAAAGTCCTCACAACCCTCAGAGTCCTAACAACGTCCTCACAACCCTCAGAATCCTCACAAAGTCCTCACAACCCTCAGAGTCCTCACAAGGTCCTCACAACCCTCAGAATCCTCACAAGGTCCTCACAACCCTCAGAATCCTCACAAGGTCCTCACAACCCTCAGAGTCCTCACAAGGTCCTCACAACCCTCAGAGTCCTCACAAGGTTCTCACAACCCTCAGAGTCCTCACAACGTCCTCACAACCCTCAGAGTCCTAACAACGTCCTCACAAGGTCCTCACAACCCTCAGAGTCCTAACAACGTCCTCACAAGGTCCTCACAACCCTCAGAGTCCTCACAATGTCCTCACAACCCTCAGAGTCCTCACAATGTCCTTACAATCCTCAAGGTTTAGCATTAACACTGATAGCAAGGAAGGGCATAAACCTGGTAGCAGAGATAAGGGCATTGCTAGCTTAGCTTAGCACAAGACTAGAAGCAGGGAAGGGGGTGACTGCTAGCCTATCTTAGCATAAAGACTGGTAGTATGTGTAGCAGCACACTCACCCCAGACGGTCACACCTCTGATGTCACTGAATGGTGAAGTGTACTGCTGCAGGTGATAGTCACACTTGAGGTAGACGTGACTGCCCACCTGGTGTGTCCCCAGTAGCTCCTTTGAGGTCACGTAAAAGGTGCAGCTGAAAGCCGCCGTCGTAAACACTTTGAAGGGTTTGTGGGAGTGTTCTCTCCACAGGCGACAGTCGCCTCCGGTGTAGTCAATAGGAAGAGTACAGACGACCTTCACTGTTCTCTGTCCTCAATCTCGTCAGTGGCGATGAGGATCTTAGGTGTCTCTGCAGAGAGACGACACGTCACGACACAAAGTCTTCATCATGTGGACGAAGACTACATAAAGATAATTCTGTTCGTGAGCAGCAACTCAGAAATAACTGAAGTCACAAAGGAAAATCTAAGGTTGGACATTTGTTTAGAGACAATGTTTATATTTCCTAACCCTTAACTGACCCTAAATACACCCTTAATTTACCTTAATCTGACCCTCAACTAGCTCTAATCTCACCTTTAACTAACCCAGATCTAAACAACTCTAATCTTACTCTGAAATGATCGAGTACAGAGTCTGTCAGAATTTCTTCAGACAGCTTTTATCAAACTTTGGTCTCCACTCACCGCTCCATAGTGACCTGCCAGCCACCGTCCACCCTGTCAACCAATCAGAGACGAACAGGAAGTCAGCCGTTCATTAGTTAATCATTATTCGTGTTTCTTTCCTGTCTTACAGAAAACAAGTCATAGATACAAACACTGTTTATAGTTCTGTTAAAGTTCCTCTGATTTCCCCTTAAACAAATAAAAACCCTGAGTTCCTCCATTAATCAGTTTATAAACATGTAATTAATGATTAATAACAGATGATCATAGATGCTGCCAAACAACACGTTCAGTGTTTGTTAAAACGTAAACAGGATTCACACACTCATGGACACACTTTTCAAACCGTACGTGATGATCAAAGCTACAGAAATAAATCTGCCCTTTTTTTACACTACATGGAAAATTATTCATCACAACAAAAGTCCTTACTTTTCCAAACTTTCAATGACTTTCACTAATTCCAGGTCTGGAAAATGTGATTGTGAAATTCCATGTCTTTTCCAGGTTTTCCATGAGCTGTGTTTTATTGAATTCTATCACCAACAGGATATTATAGGTTTTTATAAAGTTAGTTAGGAAACTTTTTATTTGGAAAGTCTGAATATTGATAATATCATAATTCTTTACTTATTGATATAAATAAGTGCAGAAAATAGATTTTACATATTTTTACAGATTTTATTAAACAGAAAATTCAATAAAAAAAGTTACTGAAGAAAATAAGAAATAAAAAGTGAACTCACAGCAGAGCGACAGAGTGAAGAGCAGCACCAGGTCCATCAGATGGTGACAGGGGACAGACAGACAGACACACAGACACACAGACAGACAGACAGACACACAGACAGACACACAGACACACAGACAGACACACAGACAGACACACAGACACACAGACAGACACACAGACAGACACACAGACACACAGACA